CGCTGCGCGGGGCCGCCGCGGAGCAGGGGGTGTGTGTCTGCTTTTCTGTGATTTCGGTTTGAGTTCGAAGAAATGGGAAATGTCTCGCGTATTTTATGTACGAAAAGTGGTAGCTAATGAGGCTGCTGCGGACGGGCCAGTAACGGGAAGGGAAGTGTGAGATTGACAGGATTGGGAGAGGCATTTTTTTAAGCTCGTGCTCTCTAACTACCATAATCCACGCTATCTGGGAAATACTTGAATCTCTCTAGGTGTAGGATGTTGTCCTGAAGCATTTACCTTACAGACACTTTTTCTAAATTTAATTTTTTTTTCTCCGTGTGTTTCTTTTCCTCGGTAAAATGGCTCTTGGATTTATTTCTCACACATGTCTATCACGCCTTTGCCTCTGAAAAGCCACCACTGGGTAACTGAGACCTGCTATACCAAACCACTGCTACTGGAGGGACTTCCTTGAACTTGAAGAAAGGCACATCAAAAACCACCAGTGTTACTGCCATGTCAATTTTGATGCTAATAATGTGCAGATTATGACGAAAATTGCCAATCATGTTCTCTGATGGACCTCCTTTGAATGTGGAATTGGAAAAAAGTTCCCCGCACAGAGACCTGCTGTCAAGTACTAACAACCCGCTAAGGGAAGTCATTAGAAGAGACAGATAAGAGACTTGGTACATAAAACATTGTTCTTGGTGCATAGAATGTATGTTATTTAATGTTATATCTGTTACCTGAAGTGATTTCGCACAAGAAAGCCACTTTCTTATCATCTCAATTGCCAATTTTCATTTTGGTAACTTGGGCGCCCCGGGTAGACTTTTCTCTGTTAAGTTGATATTCCACCAATGTGAAGAGCCTCATTAAATCAAACCCAGATATTTCCATAATGCTCCCTACAGAGCCACTTCACTCTTCACATAATGAGATTTTTCTGAAGAGTTGAAGCCCTCATCTAACTTGCTATTGCTTGTTTAGGCCCTGTGTGTATGTGAATACACAGACACACACACAGACACACACACACACACGCGTACACTCTCACAAAAAAAAAAATCTCTATTATATATTTCGAATAAGTGTCCTGAAATACTTCTATTTTTAAGACACTGGATTTTTTCATATTCTAATAATGAACTTTCAGGAGATGATTTTAAATGCTAAGCCGTTTTGTTCAGTGAACATAAACTGTAGATTTTTTGTCAAACGGGACAGATTGCTTGGGCGGGGGTAGGGAAGGGCAAAGGAGGAAATATCCCAAGGCTTCTGGAGTGGATTTCTGACAAGACGTGTACATTTACTGCTTAGAGAACTTTAAAGTACGATAGAAGATACCTAACCCACAAATTTTTCATTTTGTAAAGAATAAATAGCAAGACTACTTATGTAAAAATATTGATTATACCAGCTGTTGTTCACTGAGTTTACATTTAAATTTTTTATTAATATATAATTTAAGGCTAAAGAAAATAGACCAAAACATGGCACTCTTTTACCAGCTTAACCTTTTCGATTGTTGGAATCATTTGTTATGATCACACAGGTATTGGATGTATATAAGACAATTTTGGCAATAATGTTTACATTTTTTCCAAAATATATATATATATGTCTATTAAATGATCGATAAGGACGCTGGTTGGTAAAATTAACATAAATTCGTTTTATGTTAGGTCCTTTGGACCTGGTTATTATATGGAACTGTAAATAAAGTCTTTGTGCTTTAAATATTGCTGGCTGTATGAACTCACTGTAAAATATTTTACAAATGTGCAATAATTATAAAGCTTTGTATATTACGTTATTTATTGTGTTTGGTCATGTAAAATAAATGTTATTTAAATCAAAGCGAGATTATTTGTTTAAGACGCTGCAAAACATTGCGTACTGATGTTTGTTTTTAAATATGGCATCCAGGGCTATGAGAACTTCTTAAAACAACATATTTAAATGCCTTTTAATACACATATCAGATGGATTAATTCATACTAATCAGTATTTTAACTGCGAATGCTGTGCATTACTCATGTTTATAGCAGATGTGTAATAAGTCCAAACATTGGTTTAACATTAATTGGCTGGCTAAACAGATGTATGTTTACAAATATCATATAGATATTCTATAAGAAAAACAGCAAAGAGGAATTATTTCGTCTACTTTTTATGCTTCTGTCCGTTTTTGGGCTTCCTCTTTGGCGGAGAAAACATTAGTCCTCTTTCATTCTGAAAAAGGTGTACTTTTAATCTAGTGTCAAAAAGGCCCCCCAAAAAATTCCCCCCTCCTTTTTTTTTTAAAGCATATAGCGTTGTTTCCATTTGTCAGGTAAAATGGTGCTG